AAAAATACAGAGTAGATATTAGATAGTAAATATTACATAAGTTAACAGAGGCCTGAATATCTGGTCTTACATGTCCTCCCCTATAAGACCTGTATGACTTTATCTATCAAATCAGTTAAAATTAGTTCAAACTGTTTCATAAACGACAGTTCAAGGATAGCCATTACATACAACGGAATTAGATTAGTTTGCTATCTAATTTCGTGCTACCTAAATACATGTATTATAGTTCCATTACTGGAATATTTTTACGAAGGCTATTTTTTTGCTAATTTCTAGAAAACAGCTGTAGTTTAAATTCACTGATATATTTTTGCGAATTGATGCTATGCGCAAAATTATGACTACCGTAGAAATATCCCAATTACAGTATTTAAAGAAATAGCACTTCTGACATAGTGACATAGCGTAGACAGAAATAATGGAATCCATGTGTCAGCTGAGTGATTTTTTCCTCGATTTGTATTTTGTAGAATCCGCATTTATACGCGTACCGAAATAGAACACACACGCATCGGTATTGAACAATGCTGCTATGTTGTACTGTCCTCTAATTTTAGACTTAATGAGTTCCTCATAAACTCATTTACGTAGTCACGGATATTAAAACAGCGAAGTTCAGCATGTTTAAACTAGGATAAATTTGACATGACACACGGTCTAAAAATTGTAAAACGGTCACCAAAATTCCCTTTTCACAAAATGTATTCGGCCATTATCGGATTATACTATTGTATTCGATTCAAAAGAGTAGACGGGTACACTCACGTTATGTTTAGATGTTAGTGCTGACTCAGCGATTTTCTTATCTCCCTTTTAATATCATCTAGTTTAAGGATCCCCGTTCCACTGCACTACCGTTTTCCCTATATATAGTAATTATTTATAGATTGCTCACTGCTTTACGTATAACTATTCAAAAAGCTTAACCTACGAATTAAAGGTTTCATATTTATTCTGTTCATTTAAATATCAAAACAAGTGTATGAAATGAATCAAAAATATTTGTTACTGGTACATGTTTTTTCTTAAATTGTGAGTAAGCTAGGCTTTTTAAAACATTGATTGTGCAACCTATAGTGTAATGGTTTACAATTGTTTTAAATGTTCCCCTCTAATAATAGCATGGTCGCATAAGGCAACTTATATGAACCCCTAAAAATCATTGCTGTCACCATTGAAACCCTTGCGGTGATTTTTCTACCTCTTTTCGACAGGGGCCTGTGCCCTGTGACTTTGGGAAAATATATCACACAAAAATACGTTTTTGAGAAATGGGGTGATTTTTTCCATTGGTTTTGGGGAAAAAACAGCAGAAAGTATCCCGAGGGAGGGGAGAGCCCAAATTCACCTTAGGAATCCTTCTCTCTTATCTGTTGTTTCTTTTCGACAGTGTTTCTTAGGTACATCTGAATGGTCTGAAATCAGGATAACGTGACCAAGTAAGTGACATGCTACTGTGTCAAGATGACGAATTTTCTGTGAGACTTAACTTAAGGTATACTCGTGAAAAATATCAAAATATTAGCGACATTCGTGAAAAATATTTGATATTATTGAAGACACCATTAAATATCCTCTATTTATTACATTTTTAAAGCATAAAACATGAAAAATGTAGTAATAATTAGCGCCATATTATAATGACGTCATGCTTGACAACACGGCTGCGCGCCATTTTGAATGGGATACTCAACACAATCCTGACGTTTCTGCTATTTTCTGGTAGGATTGTATATTTATGTAAAAATTTAAGTGTCTGTGCCAAACATTTACCGTAGCAACCACTTAATCCACCGTCGCTTCATTTGAATCTAAACAAAACATCGTTGCCTTTGAATGCAGCGATTAGAAGATACCGTCATGATTGATCAATACCAAAACGGGAATATCACTTTTGATATTTGTCACAGTGGAAAAAAATAGTCTTATCAAGTTGACAGAATCAAATATTTTACTGGCAAAAATGTAATGAACNTCTTATCTGTTGTTTCTTTTCGACAGTGTTTCTTAGGTACATCTGGTTGGTCTGAAATCAGGATAACGTGACAAAGTAAGTGACATGCTACTGTGTCAAGATGACGAATTTTCTGTGAGACTTAACTTAAGGTATACTCGTGAAAAATATCAAAATATTAGCGACACTCGTGAAAAATATTTGATATTATTGAAGACACCATTAAATATCCTCTATTTATTACATTTTTAAAGCATAACACATGAAAAATGTAGTAATAATTAGCGCCATATTATAATGACGTCATGCTTGACAACACGGCTGCGCGCCATTTTGAATGGGATACTCAACACAATCCTGACGTTTCTGCTATTTTCTGGTATGATTGCCTATACAAATATTATTAATTGTATATTTATGTAAATATTTAAGTGTGTACCAAACATTTACCATAGCAACCACTTAATCCACCGTCGCTTCATTTGAATCTAAACAAAACATCGTTGCCTTTGAATGCAGCGATTAGAAGATACCGTCATGATTGATCAATACCAAAACGTGAATATCACTTTTGATATTTTTCACAGTGGAAAAAAAATCAGTTTTATCAAGTTGATAGAATCAAATATTTCACAGGCAAAAATGTAATGAACATCTGTAACTGTATCTTAATTGTTAAATATTAAATCTTAATTTGGCTTGCCATAGTTTCAAGTATTCTGAAATAAAGCACTGGATGGCTTTACCAAGTACTGTTAAGGAATGAATACTGAAAGAAGACATAAGATAAGTGACAAATCAAAAGTTTATTTTAAATACCATATATCGTTCAAAAACTACAGTTCCAAAAGTGTGTACAGTACATACACTTCACCATGTTTGTTCCTATTACGGTCTTTCAACAGAAACCGAGCTATTTTGCCATTATCAGTCACAGGTACTGTACTGTACAAATACCCATAATTTTAGCAAGGTTGCTAACCGCTAGGTTCAGCCTAGTAAAATGACACCGTTCAAGAAGCATGTGATTTTGTCATAACCGTTTATGTTATAACGGAGCAGTCTAGGTCGACAGGAACATATTTTTTCTTTGATTTGATGTATGATTTACCATATATCCCGAAGTATCATTTTCGGTAGACTTCATGACTTCACGGCCTTGATCTTCATCTTCATGTGCAGTGAGAATTTCGAGAAAAATTACATTATATTCGATAACAAAGAAATAAGGCCTACTAGTGACAGGAAAACAAATTCGCCCAAGAAAATATGATACTAATAAATCAACCCTACAAACTACTGAAATTAATATGAAGAAACTACATTTTCATGAATGTTCTTATTCCCTACGCAACTTAAATATGGAAATGTGGATACAATCTGATCAGGAATAAAACCGTGAACAATGTTAGTATGTGGTTCATATCAGAGCATTGATATGGTGCATTTTCCTGTCACGGCATTACGTCGAGAGTAAGATGACTTTGTCGTTTTCGGTCGCTCCTTTTTAAATTAGTTAACCACACACTTGTTAGTCACTACTCCTATCTCATCATATAAAGAAGAAGAAATAAAATTAACACAACATAAAAAATCATAGCACAGCATTATTAAAGAGTCCTCATAAATGATGCACATGTTTACATCTTACATTTGTATCTGGTGTCAGCACACTAAGATATAAAGATAAACCGACTAATAGACATTTCTCATTTTGAGACGGAGACGGACACCGAGAGTAGTAACATCAGGGAACATCTCAAAATAATTTTTCGTTTCATCTNAAGATTTTAAAAAAAGAAGGTTTATACTGAACACAAAGACTCGGTACATGCTAGAGTTGATCGCAGTAGTATAGAAATCCGAAAATTCACTACCCTGAAACGATCCCTAAGATAGTCTTCAAAGAAAAGCATAAAAATGACCCCCAAACCTTCCCTCCCTTCCCAATATCTAAATATTTTTGTTGTGTTTCATGGAGAACATTCCATAAAAGCTGTCGATTTAAAACGAAATAGAAAATAGCAGAAAACTGAATAAATTTCTACTTTCTTCTGTTGTTATTTTTTAGGAGAATAAACAAGAACACATGTAAATACAGACTTTTATGGCTAATAGCGTAGCTCACAGAATGATAAAGGTCGCTTCGTCGCCATCATGTTACTGTTACGAAGGAACATTCAAACGTTACTTTGCCACGAAGGGATGCTGATAAACGTCCTTTTGTTCAACCACCTCTATACAAAATATTTCTTTCGTAATATGGAAATATCGTGTCCTAGGAAGTTTGTGGATGGTAAATTTAATCTACAAATGTTTATGTGATCCCTGTCACTCTGGTAAAATTCAAACTTCTTTGAACTGATTTTTTTGGCTCGGGGAATTCCGTTTCACTCAATCGGCGTCAGAAAAAAACTACAGACGTCCCGGGTGAGATCCTTAACGGAGATATTGAAATATCAATTACCACGGTTACATACCTGCCGCATTGAGCCATGAAAAACCCCAAAACGACTGTGGTTACCGGTTACATAATTTCTAATCTGTGTCTACATATGATGTTATCTGTTCGCTTACCTATAGCCACGTGCGTTTACACACTATGACATACCCTATACGCTACGTTCCATATCAAATCATTTTTGAAATGACCCTTGTATTTGATTGTCTATGTCTCTGTCTCCACGCTCCGTGCTCGGTCTACCTCTAAGTGAGAAAGTCTACTACTCGAGAAGAAAAATATATATTGCGATTTTACAAACAAAAACAAATTGTTTAGAAACTTCAGATGTCAACTTTTTAGCAATTGTTAATATGTTATATAGTAAGAATCGATCAATTCATTTTCTCTTTCCGACAACAACTTTATCTTTCTGTTCAACATTGTGCTAGTATTCCAGCCTTTTTATAGTTAAGCAACGGATGGTAATTAAGGAAACAAGCATGTTATATCCATACACAATTCTAGCTTTGTAGTGCAGAGTGTGTTCTAACACCACAGATGAGGATATTAAAATAACACCACCGTAGCCTCTAGTTCAGTTCATTCTTTTCCGTCCGTAATTGTTTTTAGCGATCCTTTGTATCTCACTGCAATGGTTCTTGATTGAGTAAAATGTATAGTTTGCCTGACAAGGAATGCATCCTTTTCTTTTTCCAAATCTGCTGCAACAGTTCGCACTTTAACAGCTGCCTCATGTGTTGATCCCTGATGTGTCTTGATGGAGGTTTCCACGAGGAAATAGATATCCAGAGGCAAAATCAATAAGTCTAAACCTAATCCAACAGCGCCTGCCACCTGGGAAACCGTACGAACTGCAGCTTTTGTCCCTCCTTTTACGGCATTCGCTGCTATTCCAGCTCCGAAATCTATGCCGCCAGCTATTAATCTTGCACCTTTAACTCCTCTTTTTGCATATTTGTTGATTTGTTTACCAAGGGTCTCTGTATTGTCCAGTAAAACATTAAGCCTTTCCGACTCGCGTCTGTCATTGTCCAAGCATTGCTGGACTTTGTTTAATAAATCCTTTTCATGAAAATGTTTCCCTGCCAATGCTCCGATTGTAGTAAATCCACCACTCAAGCCTATACTTCCTAAAACTATTCCAGGAATGATACTTATTCCCCCTGTCACGAGTGCTAGTCCAAAACAGACAATAGAACCAATGCCAGTAGCTAAAGATACCGATGTTGCAGTAAGGTTGGAAATATTGACTCTCTTTTGCATCAGGTCTAGTTCGTCGGCAAGCTGGTTTAGTTTCCTTATAGTTTCCTTTCTTGTTCGTTTCCATACTTCCGCTTCTGCCACAAATTCAGACATTGTCTATTCACAGGTACAAGTCTCTTCTGTCGATACACCTATAATATAATATAATACATCCTTTAGAAGCCAATCAGCGCGGAGGTCACAAAAGTTAGAGAAAATGGCAGGCTCTGTTTAGTCTCGTTCAACCAGACGCTTGTTCACTTGTAATTCAAGAGTCTGGTCAAACACATTACTTAGAACTTACCATCACCAGAAGGCAGTGTTTTTACTTTCGTTTCCGGACTTTATTGGCATATTAATAATGGCATATATTTCCACTGATAAATCATGACTGAGCACAAAGCCAACAAGGCTGACTGGGGTTAAAAAAGCGTACAAAACAAGCGAAAGTTTACCTGTACACCATTCTAAACACTACGGGTTCTCACTCAAGTAATCTGGCTTGACTTGTGTCAATAGCTTTGTCAGCTTCATGAATTATTGTTAAATATCCAATGAAAATACATGCTTCTTGAGATTTGAAGCATATTTTTTTTTACATTTTTCTCGATAAAAGTGAAAACATGGATACTTGGACAGGAAAGTTTTTTCATGAATGAAAATATTTAATGAAATTTTGCGCCAATAAAATTTTGACTTCAAAAGACTAAAAGGGTGTTTCTACCTTTGACCTATGAAACAATTTACCAGAATTCTGGTAAGCCTCGTTATGACCTCACAAAACGATAGCTCTGGGTTTGACCAGGCGTAGCTTGCGCAGACAACAAGAGTCTGGTTGAACGAGACTAGGCTCTTGTCAGATTTCCGATCGTCAACCTTACCAGCTTGAAAACTGGACTCGGGTGTCCGACATGATAATGTAAGGGTATGAACTATCATACAAGTAAGTTTGTTTCATATCGTAGAAACACTGTACCGACATTGAATAGCGGACATGCCGTGTGTTTTGCGCTACCCACTAGGGATTTAGCGTGTTAGCAGCCTTGATTATATTATAGGTGTATTGACAGACAAGGCTAGTAATTGTGGTCTATTCAGGTTCGGGTCCAGGTGAGGGCGTAATGGGCGTACCCCCCCCCCCCCCCCCTTTTTTTAAAAAAAAAGACAACAACAAAAAAACTATCGTCTTCTGCTAATATTGTATTTAATATGGCAATTTATCATATTCATTAATTAAACACATAAACACCCTGACACTTTAACTATAAAATATACATACTCCAAGTCAGGAACCGTTACATTAGTGCATTTCACAATTATTTTATGTTTTTTAGCAAAAAAAAAGGTCCAATTTTTTTTTTGGGACAGATTTGATTCTACGACCCGTCTTTCAAATATCCTAGAAACGCCCCTGCTATTGGTATTAAAACAGAATTTCTGATCACTTCTGTTATATGCATATGACAGTTAGAATCTAGTCTCTGATAGTACTAGCCTTACAACAAACTGTTATTTAAATTCACAGGAGACGTCACCCATTAGAAGAAAGCTACAATTATGTAGCACAACATGAATTTATATCGTCGGCTAAATTTGTTACCGGATGTTTATATAATTCCTTTATTTATGTAGAACAGCGCACTTCAATATAAAGAACCATATATACCAAAGTGACATATCCATATAATTTCCGTTTCTATTGGTCGAGCGCTCGGGTGGTTGGATTGTCCTATTGTGCGTACTTAAACGATTTTCTCAGAATATGTCCTCTATTCACGCTTTACAATTCTGAGAATTCTAAACAAAGTCAAATCGAGAGGAATGACGTGTCAGCTACTTGAATTACGCAATACGTGTACCAGGTAACCAGTGTGTATGCGAATTTCGTGAATATACAGATGTAGTCTAGAGAATATTACTGTAATACTTCGTACAAATCCTATTCACATTATTTCTTATATCTTTTTAATGTCAGCGTTATACCGAAATGATCCAATTAAATCTTCACTGTTATTTAATAATTATTAAGTAATAATGTTTAATACGCAATCATTCCGAACCCAATAATTCTCACTGATCTAGGGTCAGGATATTTCGCTTGATGCTTTCTGGCATACTGTGTTACAGAGTTTAAAACAAATATCTTCGGCTTATAATCAAGGTCACAGGGGTATGATTAATAAAAAAAAACTCGAACAACTTCATCTCTACCGAACGTTTTTACCATGAAATGTGTGTAAGTTTAGCCGCCTAATTCATGTTGTAATTAAAGGGTTTGATACAGTTTAATTGCAATTAATGGTGTTGTTGGCCAGCTTATCCGACCACATTCGTTCCCATTTTAAATGACTGAGCAGTAAAATGGTTCGCTTATATACACTTTATATATTTTACAAATATTATGAGGCAAATTATTTCAAATTACATTAGTTACTCTTGTTTACTCGGATATTAGCGAGCGTGGGGTCTTATCGTGGGAGGAAACCGGAGTCCCAAGAAAACCCCACGTGGTCGTGCAGGTGTCCCCATAACTTATCCAACCCAATGGAAGTAGTTCGATTTCTAAGACAAACTGTACCAATAATGACCTGGCAGTTGGACAATTGTATCAGTAGTGACCTGGTAGTTGCACAACAGTATCAGCAGTGATCTGGGAGTGGGACCACTGTATCAGTAGTGACCTGGTGGTGGGACCACTATATCAATAGTGACCTGGCAATTGGAAAACAATGTCAGGAGTGACCTGCAAGTGGGACAATGATACCAGTAGAGACTTGGTAGTGGGACCACTGTATCAGTAGTTACATGGTAGAGGGACAGCTATATCAATAGTGACATGGTATTGGGACAACTGTATCAGTAGTTATCTGGTAGTGGGACCACTGTATCAGTAGTGACATGGTAGTGGGATCACTGTATCAGTAGTAACCTGGGAGTGGGACAACTCTATCAGTAGTGACCTGGAAGTGGGACCACTGTATCAGTAGTGACCTGGCAGCGGGACAACAATATCAATAGTGACCTGGTAGTGGGACAACTGTTTTAGTAGTAACCTGGGAGTGGGACAACTCTATCAGTCGTGACCTGGTAGTGGGATCACTGTATCAATAGTAACCTTGTTAAGGGACAACAATATCAGTAGTGACTTGGCAGTGGGACAACAATATCAGTTGAGACATGATAGTGGGACCACTGTATCATTAGTGACCTGGTAGTGGGACAGATGTATCAGTGGTGACCTGGTAGTGAGACCACAATATCAGTAGTGACCTGGTAGTGGGACCACTGTATCAGTAGTGCCCTGGCAGTGGGACAACAGAATCAGTAGTGTCCTGGTAGTGGGTTAACTGTATCAGTCGTGACCTTGCAGTGGGACAACAGTATCAGTAGCGAACTGGTAGTTGCACAACAATATCAGTAGTGATCTGGTAGTCGGAACACTGTCTCAGTAATGACCTGGTAGTGGGACCACTGTATCATTAGTGACCTGGTAGTGGGACAGCTGTATCAATGGTGACACGGTAGTGGGACCACTGTATCAGTAGTTTCCTGGAAGTGGGACAACAATATCAGGAATGACCTGGTAGTGGGACCACTGTATCAGTAGTGACCTGGCAGTGGGACAACAGTATCAGTAGTGTCCTGGTAGTGGGTTAACTGTATCAGTAGTGACCTTGCAGTGGGACAACAGTATCAGTAGTGAACTGGTAGTTGCACAACAATATCAGTAGTGACCTGATAGTGGGACACCTGTATCAGTGGTGACCAGGTAGTGGGAACACTGTATCAGTAGTGAACTGATAGTTGCACAACAATATCAGTAGTGATCTGGTAGTGGGATCACTGGGACAACAATATTAGTAGTGACCTGTTAGTGGGACCACTGTATCATTAGTGACCTTGTAGCGGGATAACTGTATCAGCAGTGACCTGGTAGTGGGACAGTAGTGTCCTGGTAGTGGGATAACTGTATCAGTAGGGACCTGGTAGTGGGACACTAATGATACCCACTACCAGGTCACTCCTGTTATTATTGTCCCACTGCCAGGTTACTACTGATACAGATGTCCCACTACCAGGTTACTACTAATACAGTTGTCACACTACCAGGTCACTACTGTATCAGTAGTGTCCTTGCAGTGGGACAACACTATCAGTAGTGAACTGGTAGATGCACAACAATATCAGTAGTGATCTTGTAGTGGGAACACTGTCGCAGTAATGACCTGGTAGTTGGACCTCTATATCAGGAAGGACCTGGCAATTGGACAATAATAACAGGAGTGACCTGGTAGTTGGATAACTGAATCAATAGTGACCTGGTAGGGGGACAACAATATTAGTAGTGACCTGTTAGTGGGACCACTGTATCAATAGTGACTTGGTAGTTGGACAACAATATCAGGAGGGACCTGGAAGTGGAATCACTGTACCAGTAGTGACCTGGTAGCGGGATAACTGTATCAGTAGGGACCTGGTAGTGGGACACTAATGATACCCACTACCAGGTCACTGCTGATACAGAGATCTCACTTCCAGGTCACTACTGATACAACTGTATCAGTAGTAACCTGGCAGTGGGACAATAATAACAGGAGTGACCTGGTAGTGGGATCACTGTATATCAGTAGTGACCTGGTAGCGGGATAACTGTATCAGTAGTGACCTGGTAGTGAGATCACTGTATCAGTAGTGACCTGGTAGTGGGACAGCTTTATCAGTAGAAACCTTGTAGTGGGATCACTGTATCAGTAGTGACCTGGTAGTGAGACTACTGTATCAGTAGTGTCCTGGTAGAAGGAAGAGTGTATCATTAGTCACAGGGTTATTGAACAACAATATCAGGAGTGACCGGGAAGTGGGACCACTGTATCAGTAGTGACCTGGGAGGGGGATAACTGTATCAGTAGTTATCTGGTAGTGGGACCACGGTATCAGTAGTAACCTGGTAGTTGGACAACAATATCAGTAGATACCTGGTAGTGGGCAACTGTATAAGTAGTGACATGGTAGTGGGACAATTCTATCAGTAGTAACCTGGTAGTTGGACAACTCTATTAGTAGTAACCTGGGAGTGGGACAACTCTATCCGTAGTGACTTGGTAGTGGGATCA